AAAAACACACATTGCCATATTATTTTCTTTTTACATAGAAATCGTAAATAAATTGCAACGTAAGCGCAATCAAAGCGCAAACGAATTTGTAGAAAACCAGCGCAACCGGTTCGAAGAAATTGCCAATAGTTAATGCAATGCAAGGTACAAAAAAAAATTATAAACAAAAAAAAAAAAAAACAGAAAAAAAAAAAAAAAAACAAAAAAGAAGCAAAACAGAAATACGAGCACAAAATAGCGAAACATGCACGCGAGGAAGAACGCTGGAAGCCTAGCGAAAACGCGGAAAATGCGAAGAGAAGAAATGCATTTTTTTGGGTACTCACAACAATGGAAAAATGCAACGGCTTGTTGAAGAGACAAATTGCAGTGTGCAGTTAAACGACTCTCTCTCAGTGCATGGCTTGGGTACAATCTTTTGTGTTTTGTTTTAATGTTTTTGTATGTTCTTGCAGAAAGATAGTTGCTAATAATATTATTGTTGTAGGATGTGGGGGAAATGCTGCTAAAAAGGTGCATTTAGAATTGTTTAAAAAAAAGAATTTGTTAAACATTTGTACATACAGAAATATATATGTGCATACTGTATTGGCCAATACAATAGCACCCCCATTTCAAATTGATATTGTTTGCCACTCATATTTATTTATTTTTAGGAATTTTCAATTAAAATACAATTTATCCTATAACAAAATTAATATAAAACCAAATTTAAAACGTTTTAAAAGACTACAAAAAAACGCAACGAATTTTACCCAAAATTCTAAAAAATCAACGTTAATTTTTAGCGACTTAAACTTGCACATTATCGGACTAAAACTGAATGGGCTATAAAACTGCGTACTCGAAAAAATTCTAACAATTCTGAGAAAAACGGTTGAAAAATTAGTTGCGTTTTTTGTAGTGTTTTAAAAAGTTTTAAACTTGGGTTTAAAATATGAGTTTTGTTAGAGAAAGAACTGCATTTTAATTGAAAGTTCTTAAAAATAAAAAATGAAATATTAGTGGAAAACAATAGCACTTTGAAAGGGGGGTGCTATAGATATGTCCAATACTGTATGTATGCACATATCTTCCTTTAATTTATTGAAATGAATTAGAGTCAGTTTCATAAAGTAATTTAAGAGATAAATGCTTTTTTTAATTATTTGAATTAAATACGAAAACTGATAAAAGGGAAAACGCCGTTAATACATATTTAAAATATATAAAAAAGAAATATTTCAAAAGCAATGTATATGCATTTTATGTTTTAGCAATACATTTAAGGCACATGGCTCCATACATATGTACATATGTACACCAATTTATCTACCTTTTACTTTGCATATTTTATTCCTTTCCTGTGATATCCTCTAACATAATTGAATAAAGTTTCCCCTATACCTTTGAATAAGGTCAACTACCTTTAGCAATAACAATACAGCATCTATTTAGCAACATTGCATCTCAACATAGCACCGCTAGCATGCTACTAAACATTCACTTAACTCTCAGCATCATTAGTAAAGAGAAAACCGTATGGAGTGTGTTCAGTGCGCATAGGTTGTTGAGTTCATCCATGTTGCTACAAATTTTGTGCATGTTGCTGAGTACGCGCGCTGCATTTCCGCTCAGTTCTGAGAAAAGTAAACACACAAGCAAATGATGCGAATCAACAAATCCCAAATGCAGGCAACTAAAAATTGTGCAGAATCACGAACGAAGCAGCTATTAGCGCGCCACTAAACGACGACCTGAAATTAGTGAGAGAGCACGCTGCTAATGTGTGTATGAAGACGAAGAAGAAGAAGAAGAAGCAGCGTAGCGTTGCATTTGCGTACAACCGTGAACACTTTAGTATTATTTGTGTTCTCAACAGTGTCGGATTGTTGTCGCGGGTACTCGTACTTGTTGTGTGCTTCATGTGAACGGTGTACGGAAAGCAGCAGCAGCTGTGCAAAGTTTCAAACAAAAAAACAAAAAGTAAGGCGGCTGAGCAGCAGCCGACCGACCGAATTAAATACATTACGCGAGTGCTGCTAACGTTTTTTGTGTTTGCGAATTGCGATTTTTACGTTTTTATTATAATTTTGTGCAATGCTTTTGTTAAGTAAAACGCGTGAATAACAGAAAATGCGAAGCTAAGTAAGTGTATGGAAGAAGGCAAAGTAAGGCATAGTCAAGGAGAATTAATAACGAGTGTGAGTTGCAGAAAGGCAAATTTTTATGAAACACAAGAAAAACAGTGAAACCTAAAAGAATGTGAAAAATACTTAAATTGTGTTTAAAGCCAACGCCTTTGATTTGTGAATTTATAACAGAAAAATTAAAAAAATAAATTATGTATTCACTCGCTCGCCATAGTGAAAAGCAACTTTAAAGTGTACGCGACGAGTGATTCAAGTCTTAAGATTTTCAACTTTTCAACTGCATTCGAATTCCCCTCCTTTGTTAGTATGTGCAGCTAATGCTGCTGTGTTTGTATTGTGTGTGTGTGCATACGAAGTGCAGGTAAAGAAAAAAGAAAAGGAAAATCAAAGTAACACTCTACAACAATAACAAAAGCAACTGCATGCATTCAAACACACACGCACACGTGTATACAAACGTAGGGAACGGCATTGCAGCCACTTTAAATGCACAACGGCAACACTAGCGACTACGTCAACATCATCTCGGCGACAGCAGCAGCAGCAGCAGCGCAGTTGACGCGCTGCAGCATCCATAGAGGATTATCTAGATAGCGTATACGCGCTTGGAAATCAAATGAGAAGCTGTAGCTGGCAAGAGGCGACTTCAAGCGCAAATTCGACTGTCTGTCACACTGTTAGCTCACCTGTAACCGTTTCCTACCCCGCGCACATAAGCTATGTAGCTCCAAGCAGCAGCATCGTCAACGTATAGACATATGTACATATGTAGACGCTTTGCTCGCCGTTGACGTTCGCCTGACACGATTGTGTATAGCGGCGTTATTTTATTGCTTGCTATACGCGCTTACCTTTCTTACCTGTCAAACCTGTTTTCAACACATAACATCCGCCCGTTCGCTTCGTTGCGCTGTGTCTCCTACACATCCACTTGCGACTCCTCTTCTCGGCTGCGTCACGACTGCGACGTCGTCATCAGAAAACCAGTCAGCAGTCATTGCTGTCTGTCTCTTACCTCTCCCATTATACCATATTTCAATATCAACCATCATCGATATCGCCAATGGGTAGTTTAAATGTGTTTGTGTGTATTGTTTGCTTTAAACGTTTCTCTTGAAATACGGCTATAAAACAGAATTGGTTAAGAAAAGAAAAGAAAACAAAAAACTTGCATAAGAAATATTACAAACAAATTGCGAAGCGAGAAAAAAACGTAAAAAACGAAAACATTTAAGCAACGTCAGCTCAAAAGGTACACAACAGAGCACAAACAAGCGAGCGTGTCTGCTTAAGGTACTACTACCCAGTTATGTAGCTTGTGAGTACTTCTTGGAAGCCTTTCAAGCGACTCAACGGATTTTCCGTTTACTTACCTTTCCCTGCCATACTTTTTGACACAGCCGGGCATGACAAGCTACGCTTCGCTGTGGAGTTGGTTTTGTTGTTATGCTCGCCGCTTACTGCTTGCTACCTGGTTCAAACAATCATCCCTACCCATGCACCTTCGCTTCTCTTGTGTCCCTTTTCGCTTGCTGTGCACGAATGTGGTGTATTCTAGCCCATCCACATAGGAGTGCTGGCACACTCAAGTCTTCGGAGGTACCATCTTGGGTCGAATTGCTTGATTTCTTCGACTGATTAAAGTCATTGTTTTGTGGCGCATTGCAGTGAGCAAAAAGAATAGAAGAAAAATGAGTATACATTAATGCATGAGCAGAATAAGTAAGGAAGGAAAACAAAAACAATACGACAACCACTCCAACAAGTCAACTGAAGAAAACCAGTTGTAAGTAAGTTTGCATGTAATACCAACCAGGTCCATAGTGGACACGGAAGACAACGAAAACATTGAGGTTGCTTATGTGGTAAGGTAATAGGTCGAGCGAATGAAGTAAAAAACGAACACAACTCACTGCAAAGGCTAAGAAAAGAAGGCAAGGAAGCCATTTTGTGCGCGCAACATATGTATGTAACTTATGAACTGGAAAAAATAATAAATAAAAAAAAAACCTTGTACAGCAGAGGGGACACTTGCAAAGCTGACAAAGGGAATTGAAAGTAAATAAATCTCGCCAGCAGAAAAATTCACGCCTTTCACTCAACAACAAATAACCAAAACAACGAAACAGCAAAATGTGTAGAGCTTTACTTATGCCCTAATAAATAATAATTTTTCTCTTTCTTTTCAGTGCAAAATAAGTGCAGAAATTTATTGAATTCAAAATGACTACTACTAACCAAAAATACGACTAAGGGTCGCCCTCAAATAACAAACTAATAATTCAAAGACCAAAAAAAAATTTGGCAATCGAAGCTAATAACAAAATAACAAAAAAAAAAGTTGTGCAACCCAATTTGCACAAACTTTTTGCCGTTCGCAGAGGCGCATGCTTGCGCAGAGTGGGAGGAAGAAGAGTGAAAATGTTATAAAAGTGCATAGAAAATTTAACTAACTAACAACAACTAACAAAGCAAGTAGTGTTCTAAATAATGTCTGTGTAACAGCCAAAAGTAATGCAAAAAGTGTAAAAACATCAAAATTAACACAACCGCAATCAATACTTACTGTTCGAAACGGTTGCACTCAATCACCAGTAACACCACCACCACCACCACCACCACTCAGCATTGCACCAGCGACACCAACAGTGTTTCAGTTGCAATTAGAATAACAATAAAAAATAAACACATCAATCAAGTGCAACGTGAAAGCAACTGACTGTAGTAGCAAAAGTAGCAACAAAAACAGCATCAACCTAAAAACCACCAACAAAAGCAACAGACAACGATTGCATTTATAGTCAGTCGCTCAAAGTAGACGACGACGAAGACCATTTTGTGTCGCAACTACTTGGTAAGTGCACTGCATGGAACAACTCTGCCAGCAAAGCCATCTTTAATATTAACAACAACAACAACAACAACAAAATAAGCAGCAGCAACAATTAACATCAATATGATTGCGATGTGGAGATACTTTTTAATCGGTAAGTTTGTCAATACCTTAGATGTACAGACTAAATAAATGCTATACGTATATCTCCACTAGATATGATTTTAAATGGTCATAGTGGACTCCTTTGCAGTTTACACTCACTTTATATGGACAATACTTATTTCTAATAGGCTTTTCGCGGAAAGCAATTCTTACTTGTTCTACAAGTTAGAAGCCTCAAATTGTTTGCTTCATGCTTACATAAATTGCTTCGCGAAACGTTTAGTCACTCTATTTCATAGTTATGAGGGTTGTTGCACTTAACCACTCTGCTGAGCTTCATTTATGTTTTAGATGTCGTTCTTCAAATCCACTTAATACTTGATTACTTTAACACGCATAGCATTCGCTTTGATTTGCAATTTTTTTCCTAATTGCATCGATTGTTCATAAATTGCTTTCGTGAAATTGCACCACTGTGCTAAGTGATTACTGCGGTGCCCATTAGGGATTACAAAAATTACAAACAAGTTTTCAAACGCATTTCCAACGAGGAAAATACTTTTTAATCAAATACTTTTAGTTCGACTGTTGTTTCATTTCCATTTAACAAATTTCTTATTCGAAAAGTTTCAGTACCCGGTCAGATATGAAATTCCTATTCAGGTTCCAACGCCTGATAGGGAATCCTACAAAGGAACACTTTTATATGTAGTACTTTCGCAAAAACTGCGTTCTTGAAGATAACCCTTTTTGAATCTGGAGACGCGGGACATGCATTCACTTTCAAACCTGTCGTAATTTTCTTCAATATGTCTGTGATTTTCAGGTGATTTTAAAAGTTAACTTTAAACCAATACCACTTGCGCCAATTTTGCCAGAGAAATCGAATTTAACGCGTAAAAGTACATAAGAATATATCGCGTTACCGAATCAGGACGCCTGTTGTAGTGGGTATGCGTTTTTATTTTCAGCAGTTTCTTTTTTATTGGCTTCCAAGAATGGTTTGTTTCGAAAAATCTAGCTAATATAAAATAGAATTTCACTGCTCTGATGTGTTAAGAACGAGTACTCAGAGTTAGTGTACTTGATTCAAGATTTTGTTTATTAAAACTGACTGAACTAAGCATATTTCTTCAGTCTAATGTTTCCATGCAGAAAGAAACGCTGCTTTTCACAATTGACTATACTCAGATAAAAGGGTAGAGGGTAAGAAGCTGGTATAGCCTCTTCCACTACTTTGCTGTACGAGAAGGAAGGACTACGTGACAGCGTTGTTGGTAATAACCTAATTCTCGGAAGAACAGTCATATCCGGTATGGTACCCGGTAGGCAAATTTCACTAGCTCTGTCTTTCACGCTCATTTTGAGTATGAAACCCCGTTTCTTTTTTTAGAGTAGTAAAAACGTTATTTTTGAGGGAGTATTTTGATATTTTGGGGAGTAGGCCCCAAATGTTTTGAAAATCTTTAAACTTCAATTAAGGCCACTTATAAATTTAAAACAAGTAAGTTATGTGTACAGAGAAGGGATCTAGATGGGTTTCGCAATATCGAAGAATAGTACGCAGCCTTCGGTATTCGAAGCTTTATTATTTGCAGTCCCCAAGGATGGAAAATAGGTGGAGGGGCATTGGACCAAATGTGTGCAAGTCATTGGACATCCTTCAAACAAAGCACTTCTTAACTAGGCAGTGCAAGTCTCAGCTAAGTTATAGTGGTAAATATAACGAACCTATTTTACTTTAAATACTCGTAATTGATAGGTCACACACGAATTGCTGCTATTTGGTTACCAACGACTCAGGTCAAGTATTTCTCAACCCGCAACCAGTTATAGCACTCAGTCATAACTGGGAGGATTCAAGGAACTGCTCGATTAAGCAAGTAGGATAGCACACAACTTTGAAATTCCTAAGTAGTAATTTCCCGAGGCACAAACCGTTGAATACGATTGGAATACATAGCAATCTTATTTGCTCTTCCTGTCTTGAAGAAGATGAAGCCGCAGGCCCCTTTTTATGCTTCGGTTCCACCTTCGAAAGTACGGTATATATTCTCGTAGTAAAGCTTAAGAATACAACTCCACAACAAGAAAATGCCGGTAGGATTTTCGATACTTAATCAGCACATACCTATTTCTGATTAGGATTTTTCGTTAAAACAGTTTTAGTTAACGAAATTGCCTTCGCATTAAGTATTTAAGTACATCTTCAACTACAAATCATTTAATGCCCTTCTAGTGACTAAAATTCATGAAAATCAACGAATTTTACATACAAATTTCACGGTTTTTTTAACGAGCTATTATGGATAATGAACTCTACGCTATTAAAACTTTTTATTTAGCAAACAACAACTTTTAACAATTTCCTAAAAAACAATTTCAAAAAAGCGTAAAATTGCTTATTTCCATACTTCAACTCCATACACTCCATTAGGTTTATGTGAATCCCCTGACAGTCATAAGCCTCAGCTATCGACTATTTTTATGTACTTAGTTAAACTTTTTATTGTTTATTTTACGTGAGTCTTAGCTATTAGTATATAATTATTTAGTATGGTAAATGAAATCATATTTTCATTATTAGCCAATAAATATAAATACTATAGCGGTTATGAGTCCTTCAGCGTACCGTTGTGACTCGCTTAAGTACGAAGAAGAAGACTGCTTTGCCAACAACATAAAGATTATTACTTTAATACTTAATGAGCGTATTAAAAGGCACTAAGCTGTTAAAAACGTTAATAACCTCCATTCCCTTTTCCTTATTTTTCGCTTCCATTTGATATAAGTACATTAGGGTGGTCCAAAAACAGTAAAGTCGGAATTGTAAGACTCTCACCCCCTAGGATTGTTCTATATCGAAAAATGTAAACCCCTATTTTTTAATTTTGAAATAAAAAAATATTTAGAGGTCGCTCAAGGCGCTCAAAGTTTTCCATGTATTTTAAATGGGGAAAAAACAACTTTTCGTGTAAATGGTATGGAACTCTTAAAAATCAATATTTTTCCGACTTTACTTTTTCACGTGTATTTTTGGATCACCCTTATGCACATACATATGTATGCATGTTTGTAAATGTCAGTGGTCGCCTTAGCATAAACCTAAAGTGGGTCAAAGGTCAAATACTTATAAATGGAATAAATGGTTTATAGCTAACCGTTTTTATTGAGCTTTGAGTTGGTAACATTTGCTATTTTTTCCCGTTTAAGTTGCAAGCTTTTGCGTGCGTAAAAAGTTTGTAAATAAATGAAAAACTTTTTTGTGGCTTAGATTACACGTTTGATGGGATTGTGGACACTTATATTGATGGTTAAAAAATATGTAGAACTGAAAATATTATAAAATGCTGGTATTTGGCAATCGAGCAGAACATGAGCTGGCATAGCACACAACTTTAGCAATACTTAGCACTAAAATAAATATTTTCTAAACATATTTTACTATTAGTTAAAAATTTTGATGAAGCCGAATAGAGGCGCACCTCGAACTCTCTTCTATACAGATTATAAAGACTCTAGCCCTTAAAGATGAATATACTCCCAGCTTCGGTCTCTGTTGGCTGGAAAATCCTGTGCTTTTAAGAACACTGCAGGTTATGATCGTTTAAATGTCCACTGTTTCGCTGGTTAGGTGATTAATTACCTTTTTAGCGAAATAATATTTAAAGGCCTCGCTTCATCTAAGGCTCCTTCTCGCTTCCCAGTATTTTTGGTTTCAGGTTTATGCACCCAACAATTATGGGTTTGGGTTTATAAACCTCGTTCCCTTAGAAGCTGCAATGCTCTGCTACCCAGCACCGTTGCCTTGCTTTTTCTAGCGAAGACCTAAGTAGTGTAAAACCGCTTTTTTAGTTGTTATCATATCCGATGGCCCATCAAAAATTGTATGAAACAGTATTTTTTTTTTAATTTGTAGGGGATCATCCTAGTGGCCCTTGACTTTCTGAAATGATAACTAAAACGCCTTTCAAACCCTTTTTAAGTTTTATTATGACGCACCATCTTTATTGCCGTCTTCTTTCCTTGATCTGTCTGTACCAATATATAGGAAATATATCTGGCGTCGAAGTTGCATAGACTTTGACATTTATTTTCCAACTAAAGGGGATTAGCTACTTTCCTACGAAGGCGCAATAAATAATTAGACGGTCGATGGTGCGGTATATTAATTCTATTAACTTCAAGGGATATGCCACGATATTTCACTTCGTCAGTGAGGAAAAACACCGCATTGTCTCTGGACATCGCCTTCACGAAGCGTTGTTACCGTCCATCCAGCAATAATGAAATATATAGCTCTTCAAACTAAATAATGGCCTTGAGATGGAGCTACGTAGATCTGTAGGCAAAAATATATGAAGCACTTTTATGTTCAAGAACGCAAATTGGCAACTTAGACTCAGTAGTCCTTCTGATTTCACTAACCAGATTTTATAGAGCGTAATCCATGGATTTGCTTTAGAGAAGTGCAAACTAGAGAATATAATCTGTCCATCTCTGTATAAATGCTGGAAAAATACTATCACCATCTGCCGCTTGCATAAGTTTAACCCTTTCGGACCTGAATCAAATTGGGTGGCGCTAAAACTTTTTTAATAGCACATTATTGTTGGTTTAGACTTAAATATGAACTGCTACAAATTTTAAATGTCCATGACTTCTTGTTTTACCGTTATGAAATGTTGCTTGTAAATGTTTAAAAAGTTTCTTAAAAAAACCAAGAATAATTTTCAAGGTTTGATGTTTTTATTTAATTTTCTTTAATAAATTTTATAACCTAAACCCTTTTATTTAAAAAAATATAGTTTATTATGGGTGTTTTTTTTTTTTTTAATGTTGCCGAACCCCTTTTAGCAACATTTCAAAATTTTTGTGGCGCGTTGTTAGTCACATTGAAAATACGCTGAAAACGAATTGGTTCCATAAATGATCAAAACAACTCATACGGTACATAAAGAGAAAGAAACGCACCATCGATTCATATGGTTCATACCTGCGTTACTTCAGGCACAATTTGAACCATCCCGCATAATTATGGCATCACGG